GAGGAGGAGGAGGAGGAGGAGGAGGAGAAGAAGAAGAAGAAGAAGGAGAAGAAGAAGAAGAAGAAGAAGAAGAAGAAGAAGAAGAAGAAGAAGAAGAAGAAAATCCAGAACGTTCACGGGGAACATCGCTACAACTATTTTAGCATGTGCGCTGCTATGGATGAGCATATTGCCAAAAAATGTTCGTCCCGAACATGTTCGACGTTCGGGCGAACATGTTCGCTGTTCGCCGGCCGCGATGTGCTGAGGCGCGTCGAACACGAACATGTTCGTGTTCGACACGCACGTCGACGAACATTTTCAGTGTTCGTCGACGAAAATGCCGCGACCTAATTTAGGGTCGCGGCCCTTACAATTGTGGCTCATTCTTTTAGCTTGTCGACCATGGCGCTCCCAACAGCCCGCCCACCCCACAACCACCTACCTCACCCACACCTTCTAGTAGTAGCATAGGCTCTAAACTAAACTTATTGAAGTATGGCGTTTAGGCATTATGGTGACTTCGATGTTCAATACTATGTACGTAGAATCTAAGGAATTATAGTGCCAACCCCTCTTTGACGAACACGAACATGTTCTTGGCGAACGTGTTCGTGTTCGCCAAAACGTTCGAAATGTTCGCCTCTCTTGGCGAACTTCGAACACCCTTTCTGGTGAAAAGTGTTCGGCGAACCGAATAGTGTTCGGTTCGCCGAACAGCCCTGTTCGAGCTTAGACGAACGCGAACATGTTCGCATTCGCCTTATGCTCATCCCTATGCGCTGCCAAGTGAGCAACGACAGGTGAAAACAACATCTCTCATGTATTCTCTACCTAAGTAGGAGTAACTGTCCAAGTATTTGCAACATTGGCAATTACACATACTTTGTCTGTGCAGTATAGTAACTTCTTTCACTTATGTTCTGTTCGTTTTTGCGTGTCAATAACACAAAGTGTGATCGGCAAATTTCCTTGGTGAGAATTTCTGCTTTTTGGACCACTTTCGCGTTTTGCCTTCGTACATTGAGCAGTTTCGTAACTGCACTCGCGCGAAATTCTCCTAACGCGAATTTGTCAGCAGTGCAATCCGAAGTGAAACCTCACCCCTGCGCAAAAACACTTAGCAGTGCAAACACGCACAACTCCACAAACAATTTTCGCGTGGAGCCCGCGCACATGGAAACAAGTGCGTGCAAGGCCTTTAGCGTCGACATGTGGGCTGACTGGACAAAAATATATGAATAAAAATGAGTTGATCTTGTGTTGTGATGAACTCGATTTTGAGTATCAAAATCCACGCCTGGGTTTCCCGCTCCTGTCCGCACCTCGACATTCCACTCCACCCCATCCGTTCCCCAATCTGTCCACCCTAAACCCTAAACCCCTAAAACTCATAACCTACTAGCCTCGAGAATCATGCACTTGTATGAGAAGTATAGTGATGACTTTTCTTGGCATAATTGGTTTATGAATAAAACTAGGGCAGTAAGGGTAGGGATGAGCAAGGGGCGAACACGAACGTGCTCGCGTTTGCCCATGCACGAACACCCCTATTCGGTGAACCAAACACTGTTCGGTTCGGCGAACACCTTAAGCAAAAACAGGTGTTCGCCGTTCGCCTATGAAGGCGTGTTCGGGCGAACCTCGAACACGTTCGTGTTCGTCTAGGGGCAAATTGCAGCAGCGGCCCGAACACGAACGTGTTCGGGCGAACCTCGAACACTGTTCGGCGAACACTTTAAGCTTAAAAAAATAACCTGTTCGGTTCGCCTCGAACAGGTGTTCGTTTTTTTGCTCATCCCTAAGTAAGGGGAAAACAGTAAGATTACGATGGAAAATAGAATTGGCCACATCAAAGCAAGGCAAAATCATCTAAGCACCACATTTGATCAAAAGTGTAACTGGGTGCTTCACGACTTCAAAACGCCAGCTTGTCATGGCTCAAAATCCGCTGGCCTAGCCCAGACTTATGCTCATGTGGCAGAGAGGAGCCCAAGTTTTTTCAAAATAAGGGTGAGTTTTTCGCTTATCTTAACTTTTGGCCCGAAGTTTCGGTAAATTTTGTCGAGTTTAGAAATTTGCATGGCAAGGCGTGGTGCAAAATTCTGGGCGACATTTTCGGCGAATTTTTTAAGCATCACTTGTTGCAGAGAAAAACTAACAGAATGAGGATTGAATGGGGGTCGATTGGAAATCTAGGGTTGGGAAAGCCCCCCTCAGCCCAACTTTGAAATTGGCTCGGTTGCGTTTGCTAGATCCAGAGCAGTAAGAGACATAAATTGGTTGTATGCACACAATGTGACGATTTTATGTTGTGGGAATCAATTTTCATAATCGATGAGTTAGGGTTGGTCACTCGCAAATCTGTCAAGCTTAGTTGACAGTGCTCATACTCACCCCATAGTCTGTCACCTTGCAAAATCCGTCAGAACTAGTCTGAATTAGGGTGAGCAAAGGCCGAACTCGAACAGGTTCGAGTTCATCCCTAGTCGAACAGCTCGAACAGCCGAACCGAACACTGTTCGGTTCGGCGAACGATTTAGGCCGCCTATGGTGTTCGATGTTCGGCCCAAGGGGCGAACATTTTGAGCACGGAGGCGAACTCGAACATGTTCGACCCGAACATGTTCGAGTTCGCCTTTGATCACATTCACTATAATCACACCTGTCATAAAGGGTTTTTTTCGGGCCAGAGAGATAAACAAAGGGTTCGCATGGTGCCCCAGTGTTTCTGCAACCGACCCAGTGCTACAAACAACATCCCATTGTGTAACAAGAGTTATATAATGTATAAAAACCCTACGCTAACGCCGCGCCACTGCTACTACCAACAGCAGGCTCCACCCCAGTCGCTGTGTCATCAGCATCCCCCTCACCCTCCCCCTCCTCCTCCTCCTCCTCCTCCTCCTCCTCCTCCTCCTCCTCCTCCTCCTCCTCCTCGTCATCGTCCTCCGCCCCCTCGCCCTCAATGGCAATCTCTGGCGGTGCGACGCCCCTCTGTCGGCGGCCCTCGCCTATCCTCTGGCCGGGGTGTGAGGTGTACCAGGATCGGAGAACCATGATAGCTCGCGTTCTCTGGGAGGCCAGGCGGTGGCGCTTCCAGGAAATGACGTTGCGGCCAAGGGAGAACATCTGCTCGCTCGATGCGGACGTGGCAGGGATCGCGAGATAGTCTCGGGCCATGCGCCTGAGCGTCTGCATGTTGGTGGCGGTGCGCCAGTACTCCAGAGCCGTCACGTCCTCCCGCACCCGCTCCGACAGGTACCTGCTAACCTCGTCATCCTGTAGCATCCCACCCCTCCCCGCCTGCTGGCTCGCTGAGAGACGCGCTGCAAGGCGACGGCGACTAGGGATGTACTGCGCATCCTCGTCGTCATCCGCTGCGTCACCCTCCTCCTCCTCCGTCACGGTGGCAAGTGGGGGCGCCCGGGGGGCAAGCGCTGCAGCCCGGGCCTGGTACTCGGCCACGCGGTCGCGTACCAGCTGGACCACCTCGCTAGAAGTGGGACGCGGCCTCACCCTCGGCTCGGTCTCGGGATGCTGCGACTCCCAGTGCTCGTCATCAAACCACGCCGCCTTCATGGACGGATCCAAGAAGGTGGCGATCCACAGCTCGTTGGAGGACATGTACGCGTACTTCTTCAGGACCCCCAGCGCCGCCTCGATCATCGGCTTCAGCGCAGCCGATGGCCCCTTCGCAAGGCGCGCCTCCAAAGCGTCGATCAGGCCGTTGTGGTACGGCAACACCATCGACACTGTAGGGTACGCCGCCCCCTCCGCTGCCTTCGAGACTCTGGCGAATGGACTGAGGAGTGCCTTGACAGCATGCAGAGTGTCCCAATCTGCGTCTGTCAGGCGCAAGCTCTCGACCTTCTTCTTGTCAGTCGCCGACAAGCCCTGTAGGTTTGTGGGTTTGGACAGGCATGGTTGACACAAGGGAACTTAGGTTAGAGAGGGTGGCGTGTGGTTGTAAAACGCACAACAAACATGACCACACACAGTGTTGTCAGTGCTTTGTCTAGGTGGTAAGGACTGCCAGCACACGTATCCCCCGCACACACACAACCCCGGTCGCGAGAACCCGTCACACACACACACCGCTGTCTGGGCAAAGAAGACGTTGATAGGTTCCTGCAGAACCCCGGCTCGCTCGACCATGTCGTGTGTCGAGCCCCAGCGCGTGGGAGAGTCCTGCACCAGCTTCAGTGCCGGCTTCGGTTTGGCGGGGTTGGCCTGCGCGTTCAAGGTCCGTTGCAGGCCCAGGAACTTCCCTGAGCGCTGCGGCGAGAAGCCCACCCACGACGCCATCTCCCTCACGATCTTCAGCAGCTTGCGGATGGCGGCCACTGCGAGAGCTGCCTTCACGGCAAGGTTGATCACATGTGCCAGGCAGCTGCACACGCAAAACAGCATGAAAGACAGACAAAAGGGGAAGGGTGAGAGGGTCGTGTCAAAGCAAGCCATGAGGACATACGTTTAGGGACACACCAAAAAAGTCACAACTAGGCACGCCCGCAGCCCACACGCTCTCTCGCACACACACTCACCGGAAGTGCATGCGCTCGGTGAAGAAGCACCTCCCACCACCCTCCTCCGACAGCCGCCTGAAGGCAGCAATGTTGCTGGAGGCGTTGTCTGACGTCAACCCAAGACAACGCCCCTCCAACTTCCACTGCACCACTGTCTCCTCAACCACCTTCGCAATCTCCTTGCCTCCATGCCGCCCGAGCATCTCACGGAACTCGAGCACCATCGTGCGCAGCTGGAAGGCCTCGTCTATCCAGTGGCCGGTCACCACCAGCCATGCTCTGTTGTTGGGTGCCGTCCATATGTCTATGGTAATCGACACCTTGCACCCCAGCTCCCCCTCCTTCGCCAGCATCTCCGCGATGGCGGACTGGAGAGCGGCCGCCGCAAAGACAACGGTGTCGCGGGAGACCGTCCAACGGGAGGGGATGAAGTTCTTCTGCGCGCAGTTGCGATTTAGCAGGATCAGAAGCTCCCGAAACTGGAAGGGGGGGTGGAGACAAGGGGAGGGGAGAAGGGAGCGTCAAGCATTAAGTGATGGGCGGGAGACCTGCAGGCACAATATAACAATCGAGCGCAATAAATGGAATAGCAAAGCAAACTTTCACCCTTTCCCTAACCCTCCCACAACACCCCATGGGACAGGGCACTTACAGCCTCGGCCTCCACGATGCGGAAGGGGAGGTCGCAGGTGACCACTAGCTTGGCGATCGCCCGTCGGAGCTCCCCCTGTGACAGCTTCGTTGTCATAAACCGCTCAATCCCGCCCCCCTTCTTATCTCCACCTGCTGCCTGCGGTGTCTTGGTCGCGAGATGAGGCCACGTTTTGGCATGCGGGTAAGCTTCGACGTAGCCATCTGGAACACCTTTGTAACCCCCGCGTGGAAACGTCTCGCCTGGCAACTGAATGGACGGGGTGTGGTAACGGTGATGCCACACAAGCATATGCGCTGTATGGTGGCTCGCGAAGTGCCGCTCGCCGGGAGTGGTTGTGGACTGCTTCCACGAGATCTTGTCAGTGCAAATCTTGCACTGACGCTTCTCGTCTGCATCCTTCGGTCCGAACATCATAACCTGCCACCCCGGTTTCCTGCTACCCGTCCCCTTGCTACTTTCTGACTCTTCATCCTCGTCTAGGAACTCCGGTGCGATCACGCCCTCACCCAACGGCTCCCCTGTGAACGTAGCGGGGTACGCCCGCTCCCTCAACTTGTTCACCCTCTTCCCCCGCCTTGGCGGCCTAATGATCGCGGCCTTTTTCCCCACAGCAACCCCCACGCTCCCACCCCCTTCACGCACATGGTGTGAGCCCGCCTCCGTTGCCGCCTCTCCACCACCCTCTCCCACCTCCTCTTCCCGCCCCTCTGGCTCCAAAACATCCATCTCGTGGTCTTCATCATCCTCTCCCCCCTCCCCACCGCCATCCGTCTCTGGATCCCACCCTGCCTCACTGTCATCCCCACTCCCCTCATCGTCCTCATCATCATCGCCATCACCCTCCTCCTCCTCCTCCTCATCCACCTCCCCACTGCCACTCTCCGGCTGTGTCTTCCCCTTAGCAGGGGGTCAAGGGCCGTCGTAGCGGAAAGTGTGACGTGATGTCGGCGTCGCCAAGGAAAGCAACCCTCCCACAAAGCATGCGCCGGCTCCTCCAGGGCCATCCCCTACCCGCCCCTCCATAGGACGTGGTGGAGATCCTGGTACGCTGCTACCAGCGCCACCTGGACCTCGTGCTACAGCTCCACCTCGTCCAGAAGCCATATCTCCGCCCTAGGCTCAAAAACCCTAAACCCCAGGCTGAGGCAACGGGCGGTTTTGGCGGGTAGTAGCACGGACGCGAACGTACTGAACTTCGTGTGGCCTTCTTAGATTGAGTGATTTGTACCGTACGGCTCAGATTAGACCACGTGTTGCTTGAAGATCTTGCCACAAGAACAACTTGAAACCTAGCCTAGACTACGTAGACTCTACCAACGAAACCCTGGTTTAGATCTCTCGGAGGATTAGTTGTGACGGAGAGCTAAGGCCACAACTCCAAGAATGCAAGGGTGGTGGGGTGGGGGTGTGTGGTAGTAGGGTGGCTAAGCTAAAGAAACGCGATTGAGTTTGAGCTAGCAAAAATAGCCCAAACTCAGATCGGCCGCGACCTAAAATTGGTCGCGGCCGAAATTGACGCGAACACCTTGGTGTTCGCGTAGCCCCCGAGTCGAACACGAACAAGTTCGTGTTCGACTTTGGGGGCTTTCTTGACTGAGGCGAACACCGAACATGTTCGGCCGAACACCGAACATGTTCAGGCCGAACAATTTAGGCAAAAAAAAAGGCCTGTTCGGTTCGCCTCGAACATGTTTGAGGCGAACCGAACAGGCGTTCGGATTTTTGCTCAACCCTAGTCTGAATTTCCTAATTACGCTTCTTAACTTCACTACACCATGGCATCATGCCATATTCACCCTCTCCCCTATATCTATGCGTTTCAAGTGGGTATTAGAGTCACAACATTGTTTTTGAAACTCGCCTCACCCCCTATTTTTTTCGTTTCTTTTTTTTCATTTTTTTTGGGTCCTAACAAAATTTCGCTGAAAAAAATATTAAAAATTTGTAGCGAAAATTTACACCAAAAGTTTCGAAGCGTTATTTCGCCTAGTGAAAATTTCAACCTTGGAGTAGCCTTACAGGGATGACAGAGATAGCAGAGAGCCAATTTCCACAGGGATTGAACCAGTGATCTGATTGAAGCCGAGGGACCTGCCATTGCGTACAAATGCAAGAAGGCTTAATTTTGAAGTACGAACCAGACCAGCAGGTGGGGGGCCTAGGCCTAGGGTTTACGATGATGACCTGACATTGATACAAGAGGGAAGAACCAGACCATATTTCACTTCCTAGCTCACCTGCCATGATGACCTCCAGTACAACAACAACACTCATCACTATCTCTTGGCCCAACGTCTAAACTTGTCCAGGTCTGTGCATTTCGCGCGTATGGAACTCCCCCCTCCCGCCCCCGCCCCCGCCCCCCCCTCATCCTACCCTCCAACCCTGTATCGCATGTATACGCCTTCATAAAAAAACGCAAAACGTGTTTCCTTTAAAGCTCATGCTCAAAATGAGAAAAGCTCTCCTGTTAAAGAAAACTGAAAGCACTAGACTAGAGTGTCACTAACAGGTAAGAAACTCGGGTGAGTGTGCGGATGGTAGCAGGAATGCTGCCAGACAGCTGGTTGCTTGAAACATCGCTGAATATAAAAAAAGAAGGCAAAATGTAATTTTTAGCCAAGGTTATAGTCAGGTGAATGGATACAAGACAAGACAGAGCAGAAGAGAGGCGGTAAGGTGATGGGGTTGGGGAAGACTAGACAAAGGATGAATAGCAATTGAACAGGTCGTGCCTTGGAGATGGCAGACGAGACATGATCCTAGAAGATAGATTTTACAGCCTGTAAATGAAACTACAAGAGTCACATAAATGTGTTTTTACGACATCCATTTGCAGCAAATACAGTGTGAGAAATCAATTACAAGCAAGAGGTAACGAAGCAAAGATAGACTGGTGATGAAAATGCTTCACCAGGTAAATGAAGGGAATGAGGTGTTGACTAGTATTAGAATATAGAAGATCTCTGTACGCCGTTTAATTCACACTAGTTAGTCTTCACCTGATCACCTCCAAGGGTTCTCCGGTGCAAAACCAGCCCTTATCCAAGGGTCCGTGTTTTGTAGAGGGACACACGAGCGTAAGATCAATCGGCGGCACTAGAGCGCTCCCAAAAGCCATTGCAGCGTTGACGACGAAATGACTCGTGTGCAGCATCAGCTCTTCACGTCAATACGTTGATAGAGCAAAGTTTTCTCAGAAGAAGTTGATTTCAAAAGGATTAATACAACCAAGCAAAGGCACGCATTTTATGCTTCGCCTATTAAGCCTAGGAAAATAGCAAAGGGTTGGATAATTGCATTCCAGGACTTTGCCAGCTTGTCCTTGAAACCGGTTGTCAAACTTCAGCAGATTTTTGCTTGATTCAACCCTGTAGAAAAACTGTCTTCAAACTTCATATCCGCCAAACGCCCCTGCTGACTCCTCTCACGAGCGTTTGCAAATTCGGATGATCACTTATAAACACTCGTGTGAAATTACCGTTTTCACGAATCCTTACATTTGCAAAACGGATTTTTCCTATTTATTCCCAGTATCGAAATTGACCCGCTATGCGCGCGGCATTTCAGGTGAAACTTCATGTTTGCCGAGTCAACGCGGAATTCGGTTTTCCAGCCATAAACCTGAGCCACCCATTGACTGCAATCATGCACAACCAAAACTTTGGTCCTGCTGTACAGTTCAATCGCGTAGCGACCGTGCGCACTATACAATGCAAACATGCGCTGTCCTGCGCGTGGGCAGGGCAATCATTCGCCCTGTCATGTTGCAGTCGTGGGCCCTGCCACGGTCGCAACAGTGCACAAGCACACGCTCGGGCCCTGAGGGCCCATGCGCGAAATGAAATCCACACGCACGGTCAAGATTCTCGCGCGCTTGACCTTGACCAGCACGAAACAATCTCGCGAACACTCGCGACTCTTCTCGAACACAAACGAAAACAGAAAAAAAAACGAAAACTAACATGAACGCTCACAAACATTCCCTCACGGAAATTTACGAACATAAAAATAATGCACTCATGACTACTCGCAGACGTACACGAAGTCTCGCATTCGCAGACGAACATTCACGAACGCAACCCTTCACGGAAACACACACAATAAATTACCTTCAAACAAAACACCTCACTTCCCTTCAGCGTCGGTGAATAGGCGATAGATTGCACTCACTCAACAAACTCCCCCACAACCTGCCGATTATTCAATCCTCCCACGCTGTCATTGGGTCCGACGACTCCCTTCACGGTTTTCGTCATTGGCATAGAAGACTTAACTTCCTTGGCCAACTGCTCCCACTTTCCATCTAAGCGAGGGTTCTCATTGTCGACTGGCTTCACCAAGTTGCCAATCCCATCTTTAGTTTTAGGAAAGACACAATTCTTCTCCCCCACGAATTCAGCTTCCGCATCATCCACTGCAACCTTATGCAACTTCATCGAAGTATTGCTGCTACCACCCGTAGTAGCTTCAGCTTCCATACCACCCAAGTCCACCTTAGGTTCTCCAATGAGCTTCGTTGCATCAGCTTCAATGCTTGTCACATTCAGCACCACCGGTGTCTCCTCAGCAACTGCATTCTTCAGTTGCACCTTGACCTCAGGTTTCTGCTACTCACGAGTGTCACCCTTATGCACTCCCTTCAGCTGCTGCAAGCCGAGCATTAACGTGTTTCAACTGCTGCACCAGCATCTCCACCGTTGATTGCAGCTCCTTGATCTTTTCAGCAGCCACTGTAGCACACTCTCCTTTGCAGCCGCAAGTCCCCTTCTCCTTCACAAGTGCCACCTCACTCCAAGGCACCACCGGTACATGCCACAACTCATCATCAAGATCCTTATCCTCATGCAGATCCCACAGCACACGAACACCGAGCTCCCCCTGAGTTACATTGTCAAGGAAAAGTGAACAATGAATGGTTTGGAGAAACTAGTTGTGCACGCACCTGCAAGCCCCATTTTCCTTAGGGAGATCAAGTTTCCCTCAGCTCTGGCAGCAAGAGCACCTCGTCCAAGACGATTGGCTTCCCATCAGCTCCCTTGAAGATTGAGTTGCCGATGCCCATCACCTTCATGTTACACCCGCAACCTGAATCCATTTCACTGATGCTTGTTTTCACGATCCCATCCAGCAGGTCCGCCCTCAGGGTCATGTGGTGTGCTGCTCCGGATTCTAAGATCCAAGTGTTGAGAAGAGTAGGCCCTGCTCCCTCCTTGGAAGATGCTTTTTTGCTCCCCCCATTCCTTTGCACATGGATGAACTGACCTGGAGCACGCTCAGAACTTAATCCTCCTTCCATTGCGGTCTCTAATACATAACCAACGCCATGGTGTTGGTTCTCCTTGTCATCACCTTCGCCATGTTCGAGTGTCCACCATTTAGGCCGCTTCCAGCACTTCGCCCAAGAGTGCCCTGGCTTCTTGCAGTACCAGCAAGTCCTCTTGAACCGAAGATAGTCACCACGACCATCCTCCTCTTGCTGATCACCGGTACTCCTCAGCTTCCAGACATCACGTCCCTTTTTTAGTCGTCCTCGTTCACCACGTCCTTTTCCTTTACGCCAGCTGCCACCTTGCATGCCATAGCCGCCATCGCCAGCTTGATCCAAACGCATCTACCACCTCGTAAAATCTCCCTCCAGGAACTTGGTCCTCACCCATTCGAGCGTCCACCATGACCCTTGCTTTTGAGGAAGGCTGAGGCCGCTCGTAAATTGTAGCCAAGACTCGAGCAGCAACCACAACATCCGTAAGCACTTCGTTTGCTCCGGATAGGTGATGCCCACCAACTGCAGCTTCGCGTATAAGTCCCGCATCTTGTGAAGGACGAGTTGAATCGGCTCCCCTTCATTCAGACGCAACGACGCAAGTTCACGCTCCAACATGAGCGTTGCAACCGCCAAGGTTGGCACGTGCAGCTCGTTAAGCACCTACCAAGCTAGTGGTCCGCATTCAGCCTTCTCCAGCTGATGCATCACGTGCGATCTCAGGTTTCGCTCCAAACTCTGCGATAGGAGGTAGTGCCGGCCGTCGCACGCTTGTCCCACTCCTCTTGCATGTTAGGGTCGTCCGGCCTCTTCTCCTAGCCCGTCATCAGCTTCAACA